GCAGAGGTGTCGCAGACGCAGAGGCGTTGCAGGAGGTAAGGATGCATGCACACGCTGCACGCATTCATGTGGTGGACACTGAGTCCCATTGCACCGTTCTGGTTGCAATGGGATCCGGAACTCACCACTGCTGTGTGCCTAATATTGTAAAAGGTGGTAGAGTATGAGAGCTTCTTCTAAAATCTACTATCTTTACAGTTTTAAGATTGTTCAGCTCCAGATTGTTCCAGCTGCACCCCAGGGCCAGTTGATCTACCTCCCTCTATATGCAGACTCATTATTGTTCTGAATGAGACCAATAACTGTTGTATCTTGTGAAAAAATTCAGTAGTTTAACAGAGGAATCCTTTGATATACAGTCATTAATATATAGAGAAAAAAGGAATGGAGAGAGCACACAGCCCTGGGGGGTTCTTATGCTAATTAAACAGGCATTCAATGTGATTTTACTTAACTATGCCTGCTGCTTCCTATCTGTTATAATCCATCTGCAAGTGTGGTCAGACACAGCTTGTTGAGTCAGTTTAGAGAGGATTTCTGGAATGATGGTGTTGAATGCAGAGTCAAGTGTAAGAGACTTGACTGTTGTTGGTGTATCTGGCAGTGAATTCCTCTCAAACCTACAGTAAAACACATTCAGGTCATCTGTCAGTTGTTGATTCCCTTCAGCAAGGGAAGGTTTGCTGAAATCAGTAATATTTTTAAGACTGCTTCACACATTTGCTGGTTCATTTGTTGATAGCTGATTCCTCAGCTTTTTAGAGTAGCTTTTTTTTGCTGTCCTGATCTCTCTTAGTACATTCCTGGCCTGATTGTACAGCAATCTCATTTGTTTATTAAATTTACAGCAACCTAATTTGTATCCAGGGTTTAAGATTATTTTAAGAAACCATGGATACAAATAATGGATAAGGCATATGTTTAATTTAAAATATGCCTGGATTCAGGCCTAAGTATGTTTCTTTAATATATTGCTCATTCATTATGGTTTGTAAATCATGAGCCAGTCACATGCTAGATTAGCAAGTCTGGAAAACTACAGTACTTTTGTTTAAATTTGTAAACTTTATTATAAGCTACAAATAATTTTCTATAAATCCAAAATAACTAGTACTTCAGGTTCAGACGATGCCTTAAATTCAAAAAGTCAGGCCTAAACATCGTAAAATATCACAAGAGATTGATTTCTTACTGTACAAACACAACAACACATATTAAACTAAAGTACGAGTTCGTGGCCATGTAGAGGTCGTCCGAATGTTTATAGAATAATTATGGTACATCTACTTCATTAAAACCTTTTTTTAAATGAAATGCGCGTTGGTTTTTATCTTTTTGTTTACTCTTTCGAAAAAGAGAAAAGAATATGCTCTATTTCGCCAGAAGGGACCTACCGCATATCGAACCCGGAAACGAAACAGGTGAATGAAAGCGCGATTAACACGCCCTTCGCAGCCAATGATAGGGGAGGTCCTGCGCCTGCGTGATGCCTAGCGTAGAAGCAGAGCTGGTGTACGTCTGAAACGGGTGGCCGTCGCACGTCACGTTGCGTCACCCTACGTCAGTTGGGTGAAAGGTTGAGCCAGGAAAAGAGGTGGGGCTACGCGCACACTCGCGCGGACGGTCGGAACGGTCTGAGGCCCATGTGGAGTGGCAGCAGAAGCAGCCTGACTGCCACATCTGGATCGAGATCTTGGGCCCTCAGCAGCTATGAAGGGGTGAGTGCGGGACCGGCGCTGGCGCCGCGTCTTCTTCCTCTCTGACATCCGTGGGGTGGCTTCGAGGGATCTTTTCTAAGCTAATGGGGGATCCCCGGCTTATTATCTCGGGCTTTTGGCGGCGGCGGCGGCATCTCTTTGTTTCTATAGCCTAACGACTGCTTGGAGTCGTTCACCTGCCTTCTTAGGGAATGAAAACGAAGCGGGCCGTGTAGCTCTTCTTGGCTCAGAGTATGTAACCTTATATTCTGGGAGAGAAGTGAGGCGCTGTGGCGGGGGAGGGGGAGGCGAGTTTTTGAATTCGGCCCCGAGGAAGTGCGCGCGGAATTGCACCATAAAGTGAATCACGTCCCAATTAAAGGTGTATCGTACCAATAAAAATGAAAGCATAGCCTCCTTTAACAACGATGGTAGTTCCAAAGAAAGCCCTGAAAACGCAGTCCCTGTACTTCAAATAATGTTGTGCCATCCCAGGTGCTGAGCAGTCAGTTTGCAATAATCTGTGAAGCTATTTTTAGTTATATAACATAGTCCTCTTTGTATTTGGCTGCCCTGGAGAGAAGCTTAAGATCATAATATGAGATAAAAAGGGGATAAAGATTGAAAATAAGTTGAAATATTATTGAAATAAAATTGGTTTGGTGGAATGCCTCTGTGTGTATCTCTTCTTTTACTTTGGGTTATTGTGGCTTAAACAATATCCAGAGCACCAGTGTTTCCCACTACTAGGGAGGCAACTTTAATTCATAAGGCAAAATTAAGGTTTTGTGTGCGTATTATATCTTCAGATTGAAAATCAGGGCACCTCTCAAATGTTTGATCTTTACTTATCTTGAACACTCAGTTCTGATTCTACAGCCCACCAAGTCACTTCATAATTTAAACAATCGTCCTGTTTAATGGGTATAATAGTGTAGACCTCATTCAAAACCTGAGAAAAATGTGCCATTTCCCCTGAGTTATATGGCCAGATAGACCTTTGCGGCAGAACCTTTCCGTACCATCCAGCTATTTCATTTTCAAGTCATGTGTCTCATCAAGGCCAGATGGTTGAAAAGAGATTACTAGTCTTTCCAACAATTCAAAGGTTAAATCTTTAAAGCTCAGTCTGGTATCACAACAAGTAGACAAGAAGCTGGTCTTCTCTTTCTTTCAAAACGCATCTTTTGGAATCATATCCTTGAGAAGAAACTAACTACATTCCTTGAAACTTTGGTAAAAAAAAATTTCAAGATAGATGAAACTTCATTTGGCAGAGTTTTCATATTATACTGACACAGGCTTCTGGCACTTTCCAGCAGCAGTGCAAAAGAATAAACAACACTGTAGGTGGATAGCACCTACCTTCAGCTTTATGTCATACTTCAAAGACTGACATCATTGCTGAGATTACACACTATGCTTACTTATCTTAGCTATAGTTTATTTTTTTAACACTAAGCTGCAAACTAACGACATGGGCTAAATTGGCTTGATTTATTCAGTTTGTCAGGTGAGCATAGCCCCTGGGGCATTAAATCAAAGATCCTTCTTTTATAGAACTGTGTCTGAACAATGATTAATGTCCCTTATTTGAATAAGAAAGTAACAAATACAGCATTTAAAGTTTTGTTGAATACTGAGTAAAATACAGTTCTCAAACTGGAAGTTACTGACATATTTGGTTGAGAGAAAATTCAACTCAAATGTTTCTGAAGTAGCTTATAAATACAGAGTAGATTTTAAATTGAATAAGGGCAGATTGTTCATCAAGAAAGTTATGCCAGAATTTTTGAGAGATTACAGTTTTAATGTGAAAAAAAACTAGATCAGGATAAGAAAGGGACATTTAAATTTGACAGGATTTGCTCAAAGAGGATAGCATGTATTGACTTCATGGCATTATAATGCATACCAAATAATTCAAGTTTGTCTGCACTTTCCAAATAAATTTTCATAAATTATAATGATACTGGATCTTACAACACAAGAGAGACTCTGATCTGAGGAGAAAATGCACCAAATATTTATGGAAATTGGACCTAGCAGAAAATAGCTTTTATCTGAATAATAGCCAGACCTGCTAATTTTGATCTGGAAAAGTGATAGGTGTGCATGATCAGAAAAAATCATGCCCAGAAAGGCTTGACCATTCAAAAGTTTGAGATTATGGTGGATCTATAACTAACTATTATAATTAAGATGTCATTTCTAATCTTATTTAGCTATTTTTATTCTGCCTTACATAAATATGGTATTTGAACTCTGATTTCTTAAGGGAATAACAGGTAGCAAAGAAAAAGTATTTATTCTAATGTATGTTATCAGATGATATGTATACAGATGTTATGGTATAAATTTTGACAACAACAAACATGGTATATTATTATATCACATCAGACTATAGAAATTGTTAAAAATGTCATGGATTAAATAGCTACAAAAATACTGATCATTTTGTAAATTAAAAGTTTTTTCAATACTGCCTTTCAAATTCATGAAAGGCAGGTACTTTCATGAAATATTGTTCTGCAAGCTGACTGTTCCTTATCCACGGTTTTCAATTAATTTCATAAGATCTGTTGAAGCTTCGAACTTTTGTTGTATAGAATCCTAGGCAGTAAACAATAATTACAAATTTCATATGTCACTTACATGATTAGATTATCTTCTTTGTTTTCAGGTATCTATTCCTGTTGTGTGCAACATAGTGATTGATTCAGTAAGGATAGTATGTCTGGCTAGTTCATGTAGGTGTTTCACCATTCATTGTGGTCCTTGTATGTCTAATGAACATGTCATTGATGACATGTTCCATTACTGATGGAAATTTCCATGTCTATATGGGGAAGATGCTATGCTGCAATATTTTTTAATGAATATGGTTACTGCAATGAAGGTAGGCTATAGTTAGGTACACCAGCATTGTTCTGTATCTGGCATATGTAATTTATAAGTTGCCAATAAATGAAAATATTTGTAACTCGGGGTTGAAATGAGGGGTCCTTGATGCTCTCTGAGCTTGGCTGTTTGATGATGTTAACTAGTTTGAATAATGAAACATCTGTAAGAGAACAACCAAGCTCAAGAGTATCAAGACTCCTCAATTTATAAATTATTTTTGAGTGAGAAATGCAAAGTAGGCTTTTAATGCATTTTATCTTTCTTCATACTTTTTATTTCTTCTGTTCTATCTTTTGTCTTACAATTACTATTATTGATAGTTTTAAGTGAGATTTTAAAAGCTGTAGTTTAACACTACACACATGGAAGAAATCCACTAAATATTATTTTTATTGAAAAGTATAGTTCTGTTCCATACTATGTAGTATTTAGTGCTATATTTGCTTAGATGTGTGCATATGTATCTGTACTTGTATTTTTTTAAGCATCTGAAAGGAGATTATAGATGCAGATTTGTTATGTATATGCTGGCAGAGATACAACCTCCAGAAACTGCCTATCCTACCTATAAAGTGATACCCAGCAGAGGTATGATCCCTGACATAGTGTTCTGGGGACCACTTGGCCCATAAGCACTTTCTTAACACTTCTCAGAACTCTTGAGTCTTTCTACTTTTTTAAAATTCAGTTTTAAAAAGGACATAGTAAGCTTTTTGGGGGGGGCAGGATTAGGGTCCAGAATAATACTCATTTCTAAAAGCCCTTTGATGCCTCATGAAGTGGGCAATGTTTGGATGGCTGTACTTTGGAAACAAAGGAGATTGCACTGGGAATAAGGTCACACCCTATCTGTATGTAAAACTTTGTATATGTCCTTCAGTATATTTTTAAGTAAAAGAGTTTAGTCTACTATAACATTAAGAAATCCTTTAGAGAGCTGCAGTCAGAAACTTCTGAATATTACCTGAAATCAGCTGCACACAAATATTTCAATAGACACTACATCAGACAGTCCCTGTTATTAATATGGAACAAAATTAAATACAACCACTATACCAAAACACCCATTTGGCTATCTATGATGGAAGCATACATACGCCCAAATTTAATTAATATGGAAAATATAGTTACATATAAAGAGTTATTGAACAGACAGGGGGAGATCAAAACTAAATTAGAATTGGCATCACAAGGGGTACAAGTAGAATGGTGGTCCTACTTACAGATACAATCAAGGTTTGCACAGGATAGGAAGAAGGAAGGTATTGCCAAAGATTACACAATATTAGATATTTGATACAGACCGAAAACAGGCTGATCAAAGTGTCAAAAATCAATAGATGTTTGTTGGAATATAAGCTAGAGGAGGAACATGTTAAAGAGACTATGGTCACCTGGGCGAAAAAAATCAGTTATAACGTGGAATTGGCTAAGTGGGAAAAACTTTGGATACTTAATCAGAAACTAACAATGGCTACGGCATATAAAGAAAATCTTTATAAGATGTTCTACAGATGGCATTTCCCCCCAGCACGGCTCTCCAAAATGTTTAAAAATCTGGCCCCAAATTGTTGGAAGTGTAAAAAAACATCAGGCACTTTTTATCATATGTGGTGGACATGCAATGAGGCAAAAAAAAAAAAATGATTCAATCATGGTTAGAACAAATGGCGGGAGACCAAATCTTGTTTAAACCAGAAATTTTTCTCCTAGGTATAATATCGGAGGGGTTTAAGAAAGATACACTTTATCTAATTGCGGCGCACATAACTTATGCAACTTATCCACAATATTGGAAAAAAGAAAATACACCATCAGAGCTAGATATAATCAGAAAAGTGTCGGGCTGTGTGGAGCAAGTTAGGCTCACTCTTGAACTTAAAAATAAAGGGGGATCAGAATATTTTGAAGTCTGGAACGGATTTTATGATTGGTATAAGACAAGGTGACAAGACTGGAACAAACTGCATATATTGTGATTGGACAGAAGGATAGACAATGTATTAAGTAGGCTAATAGTTAATGGTTGAGACTAGCTGTATATAATGTGAATGTATGGTCACTTCGACTTCGCGGTACTGCATTTTTTAAAATGTAAAAATAATAAAAATATATTTAAAAATCCTTTAGAGAGTTGCAGTCAGAAACTTCTGAATATTACCTGAAATCAGCTGCTTATCAGAAATTAGAATCCCTGCTTTGCCCTGAGGATAGGAGGTTTTCAGGGAGAGAAGGAGATGTGTATTATTGGGTGAAAGGAAAAATTTTCAGTGGGTACCATTTCTTCATCTTACCATTTATGTTGCTGACTTCCATTTTTAGCTGATAATGTAATATGATCTAGAAATTTGTCTTTGTTGATTTTCATTGTAACAGCTTTCAGAGAGATAGAAGCCTGTGGAAACAAAACCAGGAAATGATCTTACAAGAACTTAAGGGCAAATATAATTATCATAAATAATATTTAATGATGTATAGTCACCTTGTTTCACCCCAACTTTTTATTTTGTGTTTTTACAAATCAGTTGTAAACTTGATTCTGACTTACTGGATAATATTCTACTAAATAAAATAGCAGTGCATGTCATTGGAAGGAACAGAGATTAATCTCGCCAAGTGCTGCATTCCCCAAGTGTTGCAATAATGTGATGATATTAACAGAAAGGGCAGGCTGAAACATTTTCAGCCTTTTTGTTTCAGGCTAAATGATGAGGATGGAAGCAGGACACTTCAGAAAGGCATAAACAGATTTTCAATTGTTTACTCTTTTATCTTCTGAGTGCTCACAGAATCTAGATGATCTATCCTAGACATACTAGATTTTGTACCAAACCTCCCCCCCCCATTTGAGAACTTCATCTCTAATGGGGTTTGTATAATGATTAAATTTTATCATGTAAACTTAGACATTTAATTCAATCAGCAATTCCATAAAATACTGTTAATATTGCTTCATATTATTCTGAAAAGTACTTAGCTTTCTTTGTAAAGTGACATTTTATTATTAATTTGGTTAGCAAGAAATTTTCTTCAAAAATTTGCATGCCATCCAATTGTGGTGAAACAGAATCTTTAATTTGTTTCAGAGAAACAAATTAGACTGATGAAAATCAGGTCACTATCTCTGTTGTTCAGTTCAGAGAACTGGGTTCAGATCCAAAATTGTCAAAGGACTAATGTAATTCTGTAGAATCCTTCACTACCTTTGCTGCTATCATCCATGGTATACCTTTAGTGTATTTGAATAGCTGGGCATTGAAAAAAATGTTTTATTCTGATTCCACTGTTATTTCTCTTAATGTTTTTGGGAAATGAAGATTATTTGTTTAATTTACAGAGGTAGTGGGGTGTTCCTGAAAGTTGCATCTTGTGTTCCATGTAATTGAATACCTATATTAATTCAGCAGGAAATGATCATGTATGGGTTTGAAGAACTTACTCTTTCTGAAAGCTCAGAATTGAATGTCTCAGCAACCTCTGGATGTTTCCTGACTATTAAGGACATGATTGAGGAATATAAGTTGAAGCTGATTTGGGACAAGACAAATTGTTAAGGTTTATTCTGATAGCTGAACTTCATTGAATAGACTTCTCCTGCATGAGGTTTCATGCCCCTAAAAGGAACAGGTTCACAGTTCAAGGGTCCTCCTGGGATGATGCTGGACATGCACAAAAAGTTACGCTAATGTTGGGATCTTTTGCAACTCTGATGGCAGAATGCATCCATTTATTTAAAACATCTACCATTTCTATTGCAGAGCCTTTATTGTAGAACAAACTGTCATTGGAATTGAAGCATTAATATAGTGCAGGAAGAGGGATTTTTTTAGCCAGAATTGTTATGCTGTTTATAGTATATAGCAAGCTAATCATGATGTTAATAGACTCCAAAGCCATTCAGGATTGGGAGACTTACGTATTTGCCAAATGAAAAGAAACTTGGAACTAGTGAGCTAGAAATGGGATAGTTGGATTCTTTTTAATGTGTTAATGGTAAATATCACAAGAATTAACATTATCTTGCCTTAGATATGAAAGCCGGCTGGGTAACTTTGGGCCAGTCACTCTCTCAATGCAACTCACCTCACAGGGTTGTTGTTATGGAGCAAGTAGTAGAAAAAAGGAGTATTTAGATAGGTTTGCCACCTTGAGTTATTTATAAAGTAATAAAGACCAGATAAAAGTCAAATAAATAACAGTAACTGTGAGTAACTAGGTTCTGTTCTTGCTAATCAGAATTGCCACAATTGTTTTTCTGAATAATTGTTCAGATTTGTTCTATATAAAATTGCAGAGTATTTCAACTGAGAATTTAACATTTAAGGTATGTTGAAGTGGTTTATCCTATTAATATCATGTGTAATTTAATAAAAATGGAATTCCTAGAGGTATTGAGCATGTTTTGATTTGTTCCAGTAGCCGGATTGAGCTGGGTGATGTGACACCACACAACATTAAGCAGTTGAAGAGGTTAAACCAAGTCATATTTCCTGTCAGCTACAACGACAAGTTCTACAAGGATGTATTAGAGGTCGGCGAGCTTGCCAAACTAGGTATAAATTCTTGATATTTATTTAGTGTGTTGGTGCTAAATAATCTAAAGCTATGTATGTTATTGAACATATTTTTCATGTATTTCTTTAATTGTATATCATGTGAGACAGGACACAATATTGGTCCATGTGATACTTTATATTTTTGAACTGTTTTCCCAATCTTTGGAATCTGTATTTCATTTAACCTGAGACTGTTATTCCACGTCCTGGACTCGAACAATTCGAGAATATGTAATACCCTTCTCCTGTCGTCTTCAATATCTCTTCAGGTACTCTTTTGAAACCATAGCGAGTAATTAGATTCCAACCAAGCCTTTACAATCTCTGAGGTAGATTATTGCAATATACTCTCAGTTGCTATGATTGACTATTCCAGCTAACATTCAAATGATTGAAAACATCATTCCATGTTTAGCTTTTCATCACATATTTTTGATTGATTTTTAGTATATTAAACTGAAAACATATGAACCAGAAGCTCCTGTCCTATCTTAGCTGGTGACTTTAGGTCAGTGGCTGTCTTTCAGCTCTAGGAAGGAGGCCAGAGCAAACCTCTAATGAAATCTTGCCTTCTTCAGGGACTTTGTTCAGGCGTTCACCTGCCATCAACATTGGGTCAAAGGAACACACACATACAAACGAATATCTGTATCTCTGTCTATATCTTTGGAAATTTCTTTCTATTGTCCCTTTGATTATACTACTGTGCTCTATGGTGATGCTCTTGAATCCTCCTTTACAAAATGTATTTTCTGCACATAAAAAGCTATTATGGAAATCTATCCTAGTATTCATTTAATCTGCTTATTTTTGATGTCCAGAATTGATTTTTTTCCTCAAAATAACTATGCCACCTTTCTAACTAGCATATGTTTCATTGAGTTTTAGGCCTTGTTTGAATTGATTCAAATCAAAATTTGAATTGACTTAAAATGTAATATATGAACATTTAAAAAGTCTTGTATCTTATTCATGCACATTTTTTAAAATAAAGATCTGTTGCAAAGAATAAAGGAATAATGTATACACATGAAACTAAAATAAATATGCTTTCTTTCTGTTCCCATCTCTTTTTGACAGCCTATTTCAATGATATTGCTGTGGGCGCAGTGTGCTGTAGAGTAGATCATTCTCAGAATCAGAAAAGACTGTACATCATGACACTTGGATGTCTGGCCCCTTATCGACGGTTAGGAATAGGTAAGGAATAGGCAGCAAATACTCAGTGGCCTTTATTTGACTCTTGAGCTTTAATGTGTACTTATTGCTGTACTCATTCCAAGAATAAAATAATACGCGGCATACAGTGAAAAGTCAAACTTCATATATCATATGAAGAATAAGCTTTTAGAATGGAAGCAGTTACTTATTAGGGTTATTTATCAAACTATCAACTTAGCTAATAAATGCAGTAATTTAACAGTGCATTTCCATACGTTGCTATTTTCTAAAAGCATCCTTAATTTTTTCATTAAACTAATGAGCCCAATCTCAAATATTGGAGTTGAGATTCTGATTTCAGAGGCAGTGTTGCTGGTCTTGGGATATAAACTTACAAAACTTGAAAAAGACTAGAAATAACATGATTTTCTTAATTCTTTTTCAGGAACTAAAATGTTGAATCATGTGTTAAATATCTGTGAAAAAGATGGCACCTTTGATAATATCTATCTGTAAGTAAATATTGTTGATTTATTCAATTTAAGCATAGGGGATTTAATTATTTGTGTTCATTTTTAATTCTACTTAATATTGAGACATAAAATATCAAATGTTCAAAGAACAATAAGCTTAGATCAAGAGTTACCCAACTTTTTCTGTAAAGAGATAGATCCCACCCTCCTCTGTAGGTACAGTTGGCACGTCTATAGGCCAAGGACTATTGCAGCCATTAGCATAGGCATTGTTCTAGTCTTCTTCCACCTCTGTTGTCAACATGGCCCACTTACACATTGATTACCTATTATTTTGATTACCATTATTATTTGCAGTCTTTCCACAGAAATAGCTATACAGGTAATCCTTGACTTACCACCAGTCTCAAATTTATGTTGCTAAGTGAGAAATTTGTTAAGTGAGTTATGCCCCATTTTATGACTTTTCTTGTCACTGGTTATTAAATTAGTAACACAACAGTTAAGTGAATCTGACTTTCCCATTGCTTGTCAGAAGGTCATAAAAAGTGATTACATGACCCCAAGACATTGCAATGGTCATAAGTATGAAACAGTTGCCAAGCAACTGAACTTTGATCATGGGGATGCTGCAAAAGTTGTAACTGAAAAACGGTCATAAGTCACTTTTTTCAGTATTGTTGTAACTTCAGTGCTTTTGTAACTTTGAATGAATAGTTGCAAGTCGAAGACTATCTGTATGTCATTGGAATGAAGAGTGCAATAGACAATTCATGTTTAATATTCTTAGAGTAAGAATAGTAATGGTTGCTTTCACTATTAAAGCTGGAAAAGGTGGTGCTTCTATGGGAATTCTAAGCTGTAGTTTGAAAATTTCGGAGAGGATAAAAATATCCATTGTCAGTTTGGTCATGGTTAGGAATCAAAGAAAGGGGAAGATTGAGCCTAACTGGTAAGCTTCCTTTCCTTTGTAGGCTTGCAGGTAGTCCTTGACAACGAATTGTAATGAGACACGCCTATCTTAGCTGCAGGTTCAAGCCAGGGCTGTCTTTCGGCTGCAAAAAGAAAAGAAAAAAGCAGCCCCAGACCCTCTTGTGCTATACTCCTGGACCACATTTGGAGGAGAAAAGCAAAATGCCAAGACTTTGCCAAGTCTTAGCTCTGAGACTTCTTTTTGTCGTCATCGTCATCCGTCCGTCCCCCCAGCATGAAGGCCAGCCCCAGCCTGGCCCAGGAGCATGGCACAAAGGGGCTTTTTGGCACGTTGCATCTCAGGGGCTTCAAAAAGCCCAGCCCAGCCCCAGCCACCTCAGCAGTCAGGCTGGGCATGTGTCATTAGTGAGAGCAAGAAGACAAAGACCAACTATGGAGGCAAAGCAGGAACTTTCCTCCTTTACTGCTGGACAGAGATTGTTGTCTAATCATTCTTCTTCCAAAATTGCCATTCGGACAAGACAGATATCACCATAAACTGCCAAAAAGATCTACTTTTTTGTTATCTGGTTTTAGTGTTGGGAAAAAAGCTTTTTATTCATTAAATTTACCAGAGGATTGGCATAACCTGTTTGGTAATACCTATTTTCTATGTCTTTCTTTTCATTTATTTTTCTGATGCCTAAATGTATATTTTGCTAATATGTGGAACCACATCCTACTTTATTGTTTCTTTTTCTATCCTAGGCATGTTCAGATTAGCAATGAGTCAGCAATTGATTTCTACCGAAAATTTGGATTTGAAATCATCGAAACAAAGAAGAACTACTACAAAAGGATAGAACCAGCAGATGCGCATGTGCTGCAGAAAAGTCTCAAAGTCCCCTGTCTTGGCCAGAACACAGATATGCAAAAATCTGACAACTGAGCAAACCCCAGGAAACCCTTTCTTGCACTTTCTTGTCACCAAATAAGGAAAGAAGGCCTGGAGTTTTGGTTTTTTGTTTCCTTTTTCCTAATACGTGCTGTACCTGTCCAACAAATTAATAACTTCCTAAGGATTGTCAAATTGTGTGTTTTTATTTTATATCTCTACTTTGCATTCTTTGGGATGAAAATAGTACTCAGTTTTAATGGAGGGAGGGAGAGGAGGCTTCATATGGTCTTCCAAAGGTCAAAATTTTCTTCAGCATGTGTGATCCTTCTGCTTTTCTGATGAAGGACAAAGTTTAAGCAATACCTTGCATCAGTGCCATATTGCTTTTCCAATTTGGAGGTTATTTCTCTCTAGTTCTGAACTTGATTTAGTAAGTTTGGCCTTGTTGATCTTTGGAACATACACAGACATCAGTCTTATGAAAAAGTGGTTTATTTGTACTAAGTTTGGCCAGCTGATGTTTCTTGACAGGTGTAGGTGACAATCCAAATGGGTTATACCATCTTTCTCTCATCCTCTGATTATATACATTTCATGGGGAAAGGTGAACATGCCTTGGCTCTGGCACAGTGGAGGAACAAAACATTTAATGTTGTTAAAGAAGGTGACTATTTAAAAAAATAAGCTTTGTTCTGAAAACAGCTCTGCTGGTTTGCTGAAATTAGTTACTTAAGACAGAAGATGGTTAAAACTGTATTTTTCTTACACATTTAAAGATATGACTTTCATCTTTAAAAAAGAAGTGTTGTAAAACACCAAGAAGCATGGTTTATTGGGGGAGCATTGTAAAGATTCAGCAAATACCTGGCTTTCTCCTAACAACATATGAGAACTGTAGCCTACTTTGCTGAGCTCTTGCTTTGTATTTTGTTATGCTCTTGTTTGCAACTTCAATTTTAGCTGGCATTCAGTACTACAATGTCAGATTCAGTTTATTCTTTTCATTTGGGGAAATGTAGCTAGTGGCAGTGGTAAGATTCTACCCTATCACTTAAATCAATATTAAAATGTATTTCTTTTCTGTTTTTGAACCTGAGCTGTATTTTGAATTTTTCTGCTTTGAAAAAGATTTTTTGGGGATTGTGTGGTTATAGTGTAATCTTGTGATTTGATATTTTAATTTCATTGTGATGTTGAATTGGAAGCAAAGGAAATCAAAATTGGGAAAATTCAATTAAGTTGCATTATGAAGCATTTAACTGCAAAGGAACTGGAAAAACTAGAATATTTCATCATTCCTTACAATCCTAGCAGAAGATCCTGAATGAGTATTAGGATCAATACATTACAAACAAACTTTCTCCAAGCTACATAATTCCAGTTAAAACAAATATTAAGCTTCTCCTGTAGAGGCCTTGAATTGGAAAGATTTTCATACTGATGTTTTGGTTATAGTTTGCAAAGTTTTATATTTTAGTTTCTCAGAAATTGTCTTCCTTTTACAAAGAGGTTGAAGTGCATCTTGAGCTTATGTGCCAGCACATCTTCCCTTATTAGTGGTAGAAAAGCAAATCGTTTGAAGAAGGTTGGAGACAAATTAGTATTAGTTCATAACTGCCTTCTGGTGCTAAGGAAAAGGTATATATCCCTATTCCAGAATTGAAAGTTGAGATTTGAAATGATTCTCTTGATCTATGAATTGCTTGTTTTTCAGGCAGTTTACCTTTGTGATTTCAAGAAAATCCAATTTTTAAAACATGTTTTCAGTCACTGTCATTCTGTAAATGTATTTTTCAGTATTTCTTGGAGATAATTCATGTATGCAGTAACTATGCGCTGTAGAAGCTGAAAGAAATCAGAAAACGAAGTTATACTTCAGTGACTTTTAGTTCTGCCAATCATTGGCTGGTCCTTACTTAGAAAAACAGAGGATTGAATTCCTAGCTCCCTGAATTGTTTTCTCCCTGCCTAACTATAGCAAAGAGCAGCAGATTGCTTGATTATCTTGGTATGCTGCAGAAATTTGCCAATTATGGGAAATGCCTTGCCTTTTGAAATAATCAAATGTGGGAGTATCTAAGGAATAGATGCTTTTTAATACCTCACAGGGTAAGCAGGAAATTTTCCACTCTTGCCTTTCAGCATATGTACAGTTATACTAATCAGTTGGGGAATACCATTCAATCATCTTCACTTCTATTTAGACATGTGTAAGGAATATATGTGACATTAATTCATAGCTCTAGCTGGATGACCTTAAAGGAGTTTAGCACAGAATAGTTTCTCATAGATAGCACAACTGTGAAAGTGAACTTCATAAAAATTACATTTTGATATATAGATAACCATGGCATGGAGAAGGAAGAAAGCATCTGTACATGTCAGGAAAGGGAATATTTTTGTATAGATAAAAAGTATTTCGTTAATTATGTCCATTAAAAATGACATGCTATTACAGCCTAAATAAATTCTAGCTATGTTTTAATTAACTTAGCCCTGTGATGCCTACTAAATTTGAACAATCCACCCACTTTACATGGGTAACTTTTCATCTGAATTGCAAGATTTCTCTAAAACATTTTCCAGTCCAGTTTCTTTATTATAAATTTGAATTAATTAAATTTATAAAAAGACTTTGGCCTTGGAGGAAATCTGTTGTCTTCTCCACAATAACCATAAAAGCGTTTATCTTTAAGATGCCTTAATGGCCTTTTAAAATTATACTTTGAGCACAGGAGATCTGCTAGTCTGGGAAAGACCCGCCCTGTAGTATCAGAAGGCAGGCTTCCTTGTCATAGTCTCTCTGCAACACCTGTTCCTTTTCCTTGTTACTATGTCAGGCTTCAAGATTTATAAACACAGCGTTCAAACTACGGAATTAAATTGCTGTCTGCAAATGGTTATTTCCTCTTGTGCCTCGCTAAAGATCATCCTCATCATCTAAGATTCACCAAGAAGACCCAGCAGAACAATCTTCACATCTTTAGGTCCTTCTGTGGGAAAGAACCCTCCAGCATTGACATTGCTGAAAGAACCAGCTGTGGTTTATCCCAGTCTGTTCCATTTGGACCGCTCTCCATCTAATGCAATGATTCCAGCCTGGAATTGAGCGTAGGAACAAAGTTTAATGTGTTTTTGAATTCTCTTTAAACTTAAGCATTGCCCTTACCATTTCTTCTTAGCCCCTGCAAACATTTTAGAGTGTTAATTTTAGATACTATTTTTTTTAAAAAAATCCCTTTGATAGTGAGATGGGTGGATTATAAATTTAATGAATATATAAAATAAAAATCCAAGCTCAAGTCAAAGTATTCAGGTGTATTTCCTGATTTCCCAACTATCCCTGTAGTGTCTCAATAAGATGTAGTGATGGATCTGATTGCGTGTTACATGCTTTTAAAACTTCCTCCATCAGACACACAAGAGTGGCAATCAGCAAACATGACAGAGAAGAACACCAACACCTGTCATACAAAATCATTATCGGCAGATCCTTGGACGTTACCACAATTGCCAAGGCCAGATGTATAAAAAGGAATTATCAGTGCCACTATGTAATTATCACCTGCCAGTGTTCATGACAAAATAGGAAGAATGGGGAATATGGTAAATGTTCCAGCTCTGTTATTCAGGACCTCCTTGTGTACGATTTAAAAGAAATGGCAGCCTTTACATAATTCAGTCAGAAGCATCATTTGAGGATACTACAATATGTCTTTCCTGGAAATAGTTGACAAAACTGCATTCCAACTATGGAAGTGTATTTTCCCCAAGATAACCAACTTTGAGTTCATGTTTAATCTATGGGTACTTCAGAATGTCAGTTTTTGTTATATACAATAAATTTCTGATTCAGAGAGAAAAGTCACTCTAACATGCCATATTACTGTTACTAGGAAAAGTTGAGCATTTCAGAAGATTGAATGCCTTGGTGAAAGATGTTTGCAAAATATGGATGAATTGTCCACAGATCTTGGGTAATGTCTTTATACATAGGAACAAGTTTATTTTTGAACATTAGAAGCAAACTTTCCCCTAAAGTTTGTTTTTAAATTTTATTACACGTTATTGGGAAGCATGAATTAAAATGTGCATAACATCATTTCCCTCTCTACCTCCTGATTCTCTAACTGCACTTTTCATTTTTAAGGCAGAGACCCCCAACCTTTTCTGCACCAGGGATTAGTTCTGTGGAGAGAGGGTTTTCCATTGGCCAGAGGGGGCGTGGTTTCTCATGCCTGCATCCTGCAGATGAGGCTTCACTTGTTTGCATGCCTGGTTTCTCATATGTAGTAGTCTGATGCTGGTCAATGGACAGGAGGTTAGGGACCCCTGATTTAAGGTAATCAATCCAGCACAGCCTAAATAGAGCCAATTTGGTAATGAACATAATAACCCAACTTTCCCTAAGGATTGTTGGAAGGTTAAGATAGGGTTAAATCAAATGTTTTGTGGAAAGACTGCTTGTTTTTCTAGGAAGATTTGAAGAAAACTTAAGAAACTGGGTACTTAAAATTTTGCAGAAGCTGGCAGCAGCACACACTAAATAAGATTTTTCTTTGGCCCAAGAAAGCTGAAAATCCTAAAAGGTTAATAAATAAACATTCTAATTTTTTAAACTAAATAAAAGTATCTATTCTCTCTGTTTCAGCAGACACTTGCATTTCAAAGAACAGGACAATATTTTTCTTTTCAAAGGTTTTGTGCAGGCTATTTGCTCCCCCCTCCCTCAGCTTTCCTCCTTTCAAATAAAAATATAGAAGAGACCTCAATTATATAAATTCCCAGTGTCTCTGGGCTTTGCTATGGATTTTACAATCACTTCTATTCTGAAGCACTAACCTTAACCTTTGAGGGGAAATTGTATCAAAGCACTACATTTCTGCAAATTTGCATTCAACACAAGCGTTTCTACAGGCAACTACTCAAAGTGGCTCATGAGAAGACTCCCCACTGAGGGAAGCCACAACTCTGAGATTATTTTCTGATTTTTTTTTCTTTGATTTTTTTTAGCTGAATGGCTATGGATCAAATACCTGCTTTTTCTTCAGATTAAATAAACTTTCATGTTACTCTTTTCTGTGGAGAGTAAGATTCAGAATCAGTGAAATGATGATAATGCTTTCAACTTTTACTATTATTTAAACATTACAGAAAGACAGAAAACTGGGACAATAATCAGGAAGAGATTTGCCTTTGATACAACTATTTTAATTCAGATATTTAAACAGTAACTTTTTAAATTAAAAACTAAATTGCATTTCAAATAGCAGGAAATCTTTGTTAAATACATTTGTCAAATTTAATCTATACTAATTTCTAACTTCAGAGCTATCCCTAGATGTTTGCACAGTTTTAGTTTGCCTCATAATAAAATTACGACAATAGTTTATGTCAATGCCTATGTTTTCAGAGTAGATGATGCAAATTGATGTATACTTTGCACTGATTTTAATGTGCAAATACTCAAACCTAAAAGATAGGTTGCTTGTTTCATACTCCTTTTTAGCAAACAACAGTAAGTTGTCATATATCATATAGCCTTTTAAAAGGATATCCTTAATCATATAAATCCTCATATTTAGTATGTAGTATCACAATTCAAACATGCTCTGGGCTAAGATTTTACATATTTTGCAAACCCCACCAGCTAAATTCCTAGCAAACAGATCACATTTAGCAGGACTTTAGTAATGGAAGAACAATGAAAAGTCTCACAGTGGGAAATAGAAATCTGAAAAGAAAAATAAAATGAATTTAAATATTAAGAAAATTTCAGATTAAATGAGGGAGGTGAAGGATTAAAATATTTAAGAGGAAGAAGGGCCAATAAAATTGTAATTTATGTTGAAAAGATAGGAATTCATTTATATATTTATTTTTTCTTTTCCACTTTTTTCTTTCCCTTTTTAATTTGTCTTTTACTTTATGAAATTTCTTAAATAAAATGTATGGACTCCAATTCCCAGAGTTCTATTCTGGGAATCGAAGTCTACATCTTAACATTGCTGAGGTTGAGAAACACCGTCGGTATGAATCAAGTCAAATATCTACTACGGACTTGTGCTTAGACCCGGGGACAGACAAAAACCGGGAAAGAAAACGAATCTGAACTGACTTCAAGGGCTATTTACAAATACGTTTCCGGTCCTCGTCTCTCGTCTTTCAGAAACGCTCTTGGCCCCTTGCCTTCTCCGCTCCGCATCTCACCGCCACCTGCCTCCGCGGCAGTTCCGATTTCTCCTCAATCTAACCCATTGACCGTCAATCTCAAACCGTGGGGCGCTCATTGGCTGGCGCTTCGGCCAATGAAACGCTAGTGGGCCGGCCTCGCCTTTCTCCAAGCTCGGCGGCCTTGTTCTGGATCGCTGATTGACAGAAGTGGGAGGGGAATCGGTCGCGCATTGGCTGTTCAGGGAGGGATGGGTGGGATTTTGTATGAGTGCACACAGGGATACGGGAGTGGGGGAGGGAGCGGAGAGGCCTCCCCGGAGGAGGATGGTCCCCTCGGTGGGGCTGCAGCTGCTGAGCCCACCCTGTACTCCGTCGGTGAGTCCCTCTGCCCAGGGTCGCAGCAGGAGGACCGGGTGGCTGCGGGAGAGGCTCTCCAGCAGCGTGGGCCTGTGGGTGGGGGTGGGGGTCTGGCCCCTCTACGTAGCCCCAAACTACAGTGGCTCCGCACCCGAAATATCCCGGGTCCAACTTCTGCTCGTTCTCCGAGTGCAGAGCTCCGCGTGAAGCCTCTCTAGGTTCGTACCGGCAGGGCTTTCCCCTTCAATATCCTTTCCCGAGGCTTCCGCAGCCCTGCTTCTTAGAGCAGAAGACGTTGCCATCTTCCCTCTCTCCGGAGCCCTGTGGCAGGACCCAGTCTGTCCTTTCAACTCTGCAAGACCCCTAGAAAACCTCGGGAGCTCTCCAGAGGCCCGTAGGAAATAAAGGGAGTTGAGTTAAGTCTACTATTGACATGATGATGGAGTTTTGCAGAAGGCAAGCGCAGGCTACACCTAAAAGGAGGAGTGGATCCTAGAAGGAAGGGAATTAATTGCATCGGTAGGAAAGGTTAGGATTGCTTCTTCGGACTTCAAACACGTTCAGGTCCGGAAATGGAAACGTTTTTGTTACTCTTTATTTACGTGATGTTTATGTAAATTTTGATAAAAATACTGTTTGAGCATTAGATACTTATCCCAGTGAAATGGATAAACAATGAGAAATACTTAGGACAGACTAGAAGGATGTAATCTGAAGGCTCCCAAGACCTCCAGGGCAGACCTGGAAATAGAATGAGAACTCCAGGACTGAAAAATAATGCCTTGGAATTGATTGACCCTTTTATTAGGATGATGGGGAATGATTCATGCTGGAATGTTTGGTTGTAGGCCTAAAAATGCACACAGCCTTCAAAGCTTTTGAAAACAGTCTTGAGACTTGAAAACACAATGAATGTGTGCATTTTGACTTCTTCCAAGGAACTGGATTTAATTATTTCTTCCAAGGCACTGGAAGAAGTATCAGAAATAGGATAGGAAAGCTTCTGGGAAATGAACGAATCCTTAGGAATGGACATATCACTATTCCCAAGTGCAAGACAGGGCTGATCTTTTCAATTCTATTAGATTAGCTAATGCTAATCTCTAGTCAATTATATCACTGTGATTTTATATTTTCACTCTCCAAAATTTCCTTACCGGTGATATTCCAAATATCACTTGATATATGCTGCTTTTTAGAAGATTAGGACTTTTATGTTTTGTAAACTTGAGAAGGTAATTATAGGATGTGGCAGGCAAAATTTTAAAATAGATATTTTCAAATCGCAAGATTGAATACAAATGGACATACAGCTGCCTGTATCACAGTCAAATGAAGGCATTATGAGAAAATAGTATTTTCCCAAATACTGATTTAGAAGTTAACTGGCAAATATAAACATACCTCTGTAAATTTTCCAAACATTTAATCAGCGTTAGTCATCTGTTATTCTACTATCAAGCCATAAACACACAGAATGAGGAGGTACTGTACTGCACATCTTCCTTTATTAGGTATAGCATCTTTAAATCTGAAGGAATTATTCTAAAAAGAGGCAAGGTTTGATTGATCGGATGGATGGAAATATAGATGTTTTATTACAATCAGCACAAAACCATATGTAACAAAGTTTGTAGCCAATCCAATAAGGACAATGTTAGCTGTAAAGCACAAGTAGACAAAACATAAAGCGAGAAAACAGTAAAATAAGACTGAAATTAGTGTGTAAAACCATGTAAATGCAATAGCATAAAAGTGGAGTCTAAAATGCAGAAATAAAATATATATTAAAAGGCAATTGGTTAGCAAAAGAGAGCATCATTGTCCTTATTGGATTGGCTACAAACTTTGTTACATATGGTTTTGTGCTGATTGTAATAAAACATCTA